AATCTGATTATCGTTACAAGTAACAGTAGAAATGCTTCAAAATTTATTCTGTATGTAAAGCAGGCCAGCATGTTTCATTTTCCTTTGGTGGTAGTGACCACTCACCAAGTCAAATAGGCCATTCCATTTAATAGCCCCCCCCCCCCTATTGTCTATTGAGGTCTGGATATCCTCTATGAGGATTTTTATAGAGGGGGGGGGGGGGGTTACCTTACATTTTTCTGGAGTAAAGAGATTTCCTAAAAATTAGGTGTTTTAGTGATATCCAAAGGGGCAGGAACAATATCCTAAAGGGGTAGAAAGACATCCATAGGGGTTCCAAAATTGCATCCAATGGGGTTCCAAAATTATTAAAAGGTATTATGAAGAGACCCCTCAATAGGGTGGGGGGGGGGCTATATTAGATGGAATGGCCCAGTGTGCTGCAACAACTTTTAAAATTTGTATATATGTTTTTAAGGCACAATATGTAATGGAGTTTGATATGATGATCAGCACAACCTCAAGGTCTTGACTGAATGAACAACTTATCTGATATACTCCTAGTTCCAATACTTTGCTGTATATTATCACCAGCTCAGATATCAGTTGGATCACTTGGAATGAACATTGGAGTGGCACAATAAAGTGTCTGTATTATGGAGGAGTCTATAAGGACTGAAGTAAAAGGCACACTTTTGGATATTAATCTGAATCATAGCAACTACATATACTGTAGGTTTCAAATTAGTTTGAACAATGAACAACTGAAAATAGAAATTTATTTAATTGGAAACACTTAAAGGAATTACAACATATTATATGATAGTCATATGTACATGATTATAGGTATATTCATTAGTTTTATTAGCTGATATTTATGACTATCCTGGGACAACATTTTATTTTTCCCAAGAGATTTTACTTGCATGATATAGTAATAAGTTTAATAGTAACAGAGAAGTGTGATGGATATGTGAAAGTAATTATCATTAGAAATACAAAGATTAAACTGTAATTTTGATCATTGTAAATGATTGTATTATTAAAGGAACAAAATACAAAAGTCAAACAAGGCTATTTAACATAATACAGTCATAATACTAGACTGGTTAAAGAACTACTGAATAGAGGGATCATGAAAATCGTCTAAGATTACTACCATAGCTCTGTAACAGGAAAAGGTATAGTGAGTTAAGGTTTCTTCACCTTGATGAACAAAATTATATAGCATTAGAAAACTATAATGCCATCAACTAATTCCCATTTAAAAATTTTCATGTTGGTCACTGTGAAATATAATCTTGAGGCTATCTTAATGATTGTTTACTATCTGATTGATGACATGATTATATATATTTCCATGGAATTCAAGTTGTTTTTTTCCCCAAGTTCATGTAAAATATGGTTCACCTGTTAAAATAATAAAATGTTTATTAGTTGTTTCGTAACAGAACAGTACCTGCTTTAAAGAAAATATAGGAAAGAGAAAATTGAAATAACAGTTGTACACTGTATATGGAAAACAGAATAAAATCTTTCTAAGCATTTCTACTACGTACTGTTATCATAATTTGATTAACTGAGATAATATGAAGTTTTTCTATATGTTAAAAACTGTGATTTCTGAAGAAGTCTTTCTGTATGTGTGAAATGAAGTCTTGCTGTATGTGTGAAACTGAGTTTATTAGAAAATGTGATTTCCGAGACTCTTAGAAAATGTGAAAGCAACGTGTGAAAAAAATCGAATAAATTCAGTATAAATGTACATTACATACCTTGATATACAGAACAATCATTCAATATCATTTCATATTCCAGGCAACACTATCGGTGTTTATTCAGTCGCATTTGAGGCCGAACAGCATCTGATATATACGAGGGTTGCCAAAGCGAACAAAACAATGTCACAAATTTGAGCGCCATACTCCGACAAATTGATACAATATGATGATGAATGTTGCACAGTTTTGTGTACATGTGTGTTCACAGCTTATATCTGAAGTATTTTTCGTAAAATTTGTTAAAACTTTGAGAATAAATGCATAAACAATCAACAAAACATGTATATTTTCAAGCAAGAAAATCGTAAGCGCCAGCGCTAATTGTAGTCAGCAACATAACGTTGTCGTTACTGCGCATGCGATAAATCTCCAAGAATCTTGGAGATTTCATCGTATTTTACCAGGGTCTTCCTCAGCTCACGCGCCACCACGAGGAAGACCCTGGGGACGAGGTTGAGGAAAAGCAAGATATCAAGAATGAAGCTCGAGAAATTTCAAAAATCAGCACAACCTTGTACCCAGGGCTTGCATTAAAGTAACAAACATCACAATTAGAGCATAAATACAACAATCATAACATAAAAATTTGTATCATGTGGCAATGCTATATATACGACTGTCTGTTATTATGATTCATGATTATGATACATGTGGAAAACAAGGGCGTACTACTATTATTGAATAGTGCATGAATACTGATATAAATTCGGATTTACAATCTGAAAACAAAATTCAAATATTGTTTCATAGAATTCCTTCATGTTCCTAATTCTAGTAAACCTATATTTTTCTTTATATGACTAATTAGTAAGTATGACTAATTAGTAATCCTACATGTTGATTGGTCAAATCTTCATCTCGGCAAATATTCCCGACTAATCACCTTGCCTTCAGAGAATAATTGTTAAATACACGACACTGTTATTGAATTACAACCAAAATTCAAATTTATAAAAAAATTGGCAGGAAATTTTTGGTCTGGGCAGCCTGCTGCCAGGAAGAAAAAATATTTTATCAAGGCTTGATTTGAACTGCAACCGGTCTTTCTTTTTTGAATACCCCTGGGCTTAGGGTGTGTATAAACCCACAGGCACATGTATAGGGTGTCCCAAAAAATGTCCCCTCTGTTGTTGGTTAACTACTATAAAGCCTGGAGTCACAATCTTTCTCATCAGCCGAAATACAACATTTTAGAACTGAAATTATGCAGAGTGATTGGGTCATTCCAGAAAACATCCATACCACCCCCACGGAGGAAATTGGAAGTTAACCCCCCTACCCCCTTCGGATGTCCTAATACATTTACTATTATCAGAAACAATTTTGTCTCCCCTCCCCCTCCGGAGAGCAGAAATTTCCTCCGTGGGGGGAGTGTGGATCTTTTCTGGAACGACCCATTATAACTAGTGAATACTTATGATTTATATGTGGTTTACAGATATAAACTATTATATACTGACCTTTGAGAAAATTGTGACTCTATTTTTATGACTGTTATGACCATATGGAAACCAGGCTTTACTCACAGTAATTAACCAACAACAGAGGAGACATTTTTTGGGATACCCTGTATACGCTGGGAGTTTGGTGGAAAAGCACCAATGGATATTTTACAATAACAAACGTTTATATATAAATGATCAAAATTAATGAACAATATTACACTCAACCTCTGGAGTCTCTGCAGGCACTATAAATACAATATACACTCTGCAACTGAAAATTAAATTCAACTGCAATATAAAAGTAGATTCACTCTTACTACAGAAAGCTTCATTAAGATTGTCTTCCAGTTTAACAGAATAACAAATAAAAACAAGTACTAAAAGTACAAATATATTTTATATTATATATCTTTATATTATATATATTTTGTAAAAAGGCTTATTACGATGGATAATTGAAAGTTTGAAACCTTCTGGTCGATCAAGGTTAAATATAAATGATAAATGAACTAATTACTTCCCCTTAAAAGTTTGCTTGATAATATTCTGCCTCCGTAATTGGAAAGCAAACCAGAAATTGTGCTGCCATACCACTGTGGCGATAAAGTATTATTCCCGCATGGACAACTTTGAACGAACAAAACTGACTATATTTTAGGGCAATCTGGATCATTTTCGTTTTAGAAGCATTAACATAACATCTTTTACCCACGTTGGAGCCATCAGCTTGGTAAAACTTCGCAAAGTATCTCAAATTCGGGAAAATTCACCTTGGTTCACGTTGTTCGCCATACATTTCTATAGTAAAAGGACTATATACAATGGAGATACGTTAGTTCAGCAGAAAACCCAGCGGATCTCGGAAGTCGCGGCGGCAAGGTGGACGAGTCATCTGAATTATGGTTCAAGGGACCACCGTGGCTAGCAAAAAAGAGCGAGTGGCCTGAAGACATCGTGACCAGTCCAAGTAAAGAATCGCTAGCCGAAGCTAAAGTTATCAAAGAAATCCTAGCCGTAGCTGTTGAACCAGAGCAAGATGAACTAGATAACCTTATCGAGAAATGGGATCTTTGGAAAGCCGTCCGAATTACAGCATGGATAGCGAGATTTACCAAGAATTGCCGAACGAAAGAGAAAATAACCGGTCCTCTGACAACTGAAGAAATAAACGAACAGCTCGAGTTCTGGATTAAAAGAGCACAATCCCAAAGCGAAGGGAAAGAAAAATTCGAAGAGAACAGGCTCCAACTAAATCTTCAATTAAACGATCGAGATATCTATGAATGTAGAGGAAGAGTGCAAGGAGACTATCCTATTTATGTTCCAGACGAAGACGTACTTGCCGAGAAATTAGTTACACATGCACATTCGCAGACCTTACATGGGGGAGCTTTACTAACAATGACTAAGATCAGAGAGAAATATTGGATCCCAAGATTAAGACGATTGACGAAACGTGTGATACGAAAGTGCCATGGATGTAAAAGATTCCAAGTCAAAGCGTGACGCAGAGACAGAAAGAGGTTCATTCCTGCGAAGAAACCGAAAACATATTCATCCAACTGGTGAAAGTTTTAGCGGTGACAGTGAAATCCAGCTCAGTGATACTTTCCTCTTCCCCAAAAAAAAAAAAAAAAAAAAAATACCACTGATCCACCACTGGCGTTGCTGGGGAGCCACTGGAATCTGCATTCTCAGTCTGGATGGCATCAATCTGCTTTTGCTTGTTTCTCGGCTTATCTTGACTTTTAAGCCTGTTGTCTTTATTTCGGAAGGGGTTCTTCTTCGTTACCTTCGAACGACACACTCTTTTCCAATGATTTTCCTTACCACATGCCTTGCAAATTGTGCCATATGCAGAGCATAAAGATCTATCTGAAATATCATGCTCAGTACCACAGTTCCCACACATGCAAATGGGTGGACCTCGAGGTTTGGCATACGACCTTCGAGAATGCTTCAAGGCATCTATATGAGTTGAACTTATACTTTTCATTTGGTTATTTGTAACTTCCTCAGTTCTGGCAATTTCTAAGGCACGGTCTAAGGTCAGAGTTTTATCATATTCCAAAAGTTTTGACTGTGTACGTTTTGATGACGAGCCAAAAATAAGAGTGTCTATGATATGTTCATCAGGGTTTGTAAATTGACATTCATCAATAAGTATTCTAATCCTTTTAACAAAAGAATCAACAGTCTCACCTGGCTCTTGTTTCGTTGTTCGTAGCTTGAACCTGGAAAGGCGAAAGTTGCTTTTTGGAGATAGGTACTGCTCAAACCGTGTCCAATGTACATCGAGTTTCTTCTTATCGCCTGCACTAAGCCCTCATGTTGATACCAATTCAATGCCATCGTCTCCAGACCAAATTAGCAGGTAGCTGACTTGTTCTTCCTCCGTTTTTTTCTTTTAACGGACCATTGAAGTATAACTGACATCGGGCTTTGAATTTCTTAAATGCTTGAGCTGCATCAGGCGAATGCCAGTCCATGCTTGGTATCGGCAAACCAGAAAGACCCACCATCTTGGATTTCGACGAACTAATTTAGCACAGATTTAGCGACAATAACACCGGCCTGGTGTAATAAACTTTGTCACTAATCAAAGCTAGTGTTTTGCAAACACACCTGACACCATGTTGTAGGTTTGGGTTCAATATTTAGGCGGATAAATTGACAAGAAGTCACACAAACAACAGTACAAAAAACTATATTCAATAACAACCTTGAACATTATTACATGAAGTTTTATAGCTATGGAACCGGATGTAACGTGAGCATGCAAATCACAACACTCCGACAGCTAATCTACCCCTCGAGAGGACGACCGGTTCAACACCCTTTAAAGTCATCGGCGTTGATTACGCTGGTCCGATCAGATATCTAAGTAAAACGAAGAAAGAAAAGAAAGCTTACGTGGCGTTATATGTGTGCAGTCTTCCTAGAGCTCTCTATCTCGACCTATTACCAGCCACTCTCTATCTCGACCTATTACGCCAAGACAACAAGAAAACAAGACATACAAGATCGTCCACTAACACGAAAGGTGTAAAGTACGAAGTCTCGCGGTGCAAAACAACAACCTACCAAAGATCATACTGGATAAGAACCATCAGAACATGGAACACATTGACGGTCATACAATACAATACAATTTTTACAATACAATACAATTTTATTCAATAAAATAAAATACATAAGATAGAAATAACATGACCCGCAAATAGCAATAGCTAATCAGAGGCGGGCATGAAATATAAATTTAGACAGTTATAATTTCAATTAGTTGCAGACAATTTTACTGTATATATACGTGCAGAAAAAATTTAAAAAAAAAAAAAATTAAAGAAATGTATCATTAGCGGTGGAATTTGAAAGGTGGTGTAGGATCTGATTGATGAATGATGTACTGTTAATAACGTAC